AGGGAAAAGTTAGATTTCTTGGGGTTGAAAAAAAATATCCACAAGTAAGATATGTTAGGTCCAGATTTTTGGTTGAAATTTGGTTAGCAAGAATATAACAACTACTGATTTGTACTAGGGAGGCTCCCAGCTAAGGGTTTGGAGTAATGATCAAGGGTTGAGTTAGGGTTAGGGTTAGGGTAAAGGCATAATTTTGTGGACATTTTCTGTCATGTCCGAGATTTTCTAATCGTAAACAAATATTACAGCGAGCTATGTCATAATAATGAATGTGTGAATAAAAATCAAGTTTGCGATGGCTATTTCAATTGTCTGGATAAAAGTGATGAATTCTGTTCAAGTGAACTTGCCATTAATTCAGAAATGAAGAGATGTTATTTGCTTTTGAAAATATTTTTAAAATATCAATCAATTTAAAATTTGTGGTTTTTTTAGATTGTAATTTTGAATATCAATTTAAGTGTGATTATTCATGTCAATTAAACTCCTTAAAATGCAATACAATACCCAATTGCTTGGATAATAAAGATGAAAACTTTTGTAAATCATTTTCAATTAAAAAGCATTGCAAATTATATAAAAGTATTTGCTCAATGAAGTTTGACCAGAAAGGAAATTTAATTCAAAGAGCTTTAGCAACTAAATGCCATTGTTCATCAGAAGAGTATCAATGCTATCTTGAGAAAAATTGTATATCTATTGAACAGGTTTGTGATGGTATAAACCATTGCTTAAACGGTGATGATGAATACAAATGTGGTAAGTTTAAATAAATCGTTTACTTTTTATCTTCCAATGACCTAATTTTCTAAATAAAAAAAACAATCCAGATGGTTTACTTTTGGAAGGATTTTTTAAATGCAAGGGAGAACATCGATTCCTTCCAAATAAAAAAGTTTGCAATGGAATTGTAGATTGTAAAATGGGTTGTGATGAAATGTGGTGTAAAGTTTATGATGATGATAATAATGATAACAACCTAGATGATATTTGCCATTTATACTTTAATTATCACTTTGACTGTTTCCAAAATGAAATAAAATTAAATCCCAGAATTCTTAATACACTGACAGAAGAATTAAAAAGTCTTAGAATAGATGGAAGTTACATGTTTACGAAAGATTATTTATCTCACAAAGTGACCTCTATTGTCATTAGAAGAAATAAATTCTTAAGTAAATGGAAATTTCAATCTGTAAGCAATGTAATAAATTTAGTATTGACTAGAAACAATTTGAAGAATTTTGATTTTATATCAATTCAAAATTTTACAATACTTCAAAATTTGAATATATCTATCAATAATTTTACTTCATTAAGCTTTTTATATAACTACAATTGTGTGAATTTATTAAATTTAGACATTTCTTATACAAATATCAACAAAATACACAAAAATGATATTATACAATTGACCAAACTTTTAACCTTAAAAATTGTTATGTGTAACATAAAGTTTATTCATAAAACTGCTTTTCGTCAATTGAAAACATTGGAAAAACTATTTCTGAATAGAACAAAGATAAATATAAAACATTCTAGAAATATGATAAAAGGACTATACAACATAAAATTAGGTTTGGGAAAACTTGTCATCCATGTTTAAATTAGAAAATGTCTTTAAATTATTGATATTAATATGTTAAATAAAAAGTGAGCATTTAAGTTAGATGGATTAGGTTAAAAAAAATACTAGAATAATAAAAATTGTGATAAGGTCATGAGGTTGGGGTTAAAGGGAAAAAACTGCAAAACATGGACAAATTTTTCCATAACCCCAAAAAATTAGTGATAAGTGAACATTTTCAAATTTGCTGTCTAACCAATAGATATTTTAAACAAAATGTCTATTGCACACCTCAACCACCAGATTTTTTAACTTGTGATAATATTTTTTCATTTAAATCTCATAAAATAATTAGTTGGGTTTTTAGTCTTTTTGGTATTATTGGAAATGCTATTACTTTATGTATAGTTACTTTAAAAAAAGTACAAATATCAAGAATCTATAGATTAAATGTATCAATTGGTGATTTACTGTGCTCCATTTATCTTTTATTATTATGTGGTGCTGATTTATATTTTTCTATGAATGAGTATATTTTGATTGAAGAAATGTGGAGGAATAGTATACTGTGTAAGACACTTGGAACAGTAATGACATTTGCAATTATTTTTTCCATGTTAAATATTCTATTTCTGTCAATTGAGAGATTTGAAATTGTTACAAATGTATTCAAAATTAGTTTAATGAAAGAAAATGAAAAGAAAATAGCCATAACTTCTTTCATTACATCTCTAATACTTTCTATAATACCTTCTATCATGTATAAAGTATGTCATCAATTTTATTAACATTAACAATTATAAACATACATTGTCAAATCTTTATAATCTTTTTTGTATAAGAAATTTTATTCAAATTCAACAATTTGTCTAAATATTCATATAAGAAGTGATCAAGGTGAAGGTTGGGTGTATTCATTAATAATATTTGGTATTTTTATGTTATTTATCAGTCTTTCAATATTTATCATATATTTGAACATATTTGTCTCTGTTTATAATTCAAAGAGAAAACTGCTATTGAACACTGTCAACAAGAGAAGTCTTAAAAAGATTTCATTAAATATTTATATACTTGCCACATCAAATTTTTTGTGTTGGATGCCAATATCCATTCTAGGTAAAGATAGAAAGAGAGTAAGAGTCTTTGTGTGTCAATCTTTTTCTTTCAAATCCATCCATTAGGATTGGGAAAATAATCCAAAATTTAGGCTTATGTTTAGGTTAGTAGTGTAGTTATAAATTATGGATTAATACTTAGATAAAAATCTTAGATTAGGGTTAGGTTAAAAAAAGACAAAAGGTTTAGAAATTGCAAAATATAGACAAATTTTTACTGATCTCCATCCAACTATCATTTATTCATTCTCCTACAAGACAAATCACTTAAAAAGCCTTCTTCTTCAGCTATTTTATCTGTAATTTTCAATCTCAATATCAATAATAACAACTACAATTTCATTGTTGGAATATTGATTCCTTTAAATTCAATTATTAATCCATATACATATTCCTTCAAAGAATTCCGAAATCTTTACCTAAAGACTAAATTCATGATTCAGTCTGAAAGGTTTTGTTTTTTTTTACTTATTTAAATTTAAAAATTCTCTTTCAAATAACCTCAATATATTTATTTATACAGAATATTAATTCATAAGAGAATTAGCGGAGGTCTTGGAGTATCTTTTTTATGGGTTTCCTGTTGAAAATAGCCAGTTAAAAGTTAAACATTGTGTTGTATATTTATACAGCTTAGAGAAACCTTTAAAGGCTTAGGGAGAACAAAAACAGTTGGGAAAGGGGAGCCTGTTTTTGTCAGAATTTTCAACAGTATCCCATATATATTTCTAATTACATAAAATGTATTAAAATAAAAGAAAGTTTTTTAAATAGTTGAAAAAAAGATTAAAATTCAAGAGGAAATCTATCAGAAGAAGCATTGTAAAATTTTAGAGATAAATTCAACCTTTTTCAAAAATTATATATATTTTTTTTGCATTAAACAAATATGTGAAGAAATTTGTATATTAAATCAGAATTTTCAATGCATCGATACAAATTTTAGGCATAAAAGTTCTATTCATATTTTTAAGGTAATTACATAAATTTATTAATAGTTAATGCTATTCTCTACTTTTGACTTATGAGTTGAATTTTTGAAATTTTAAGGAAAAGAAAGCAAACAATTTTTCATTGTGTAAACACAAATTAAAAGAAGTAGAAGATGATACAGATATAAAGAATGATAGTTATATTTTTGGACAATTTATAAAAGAAATTTTAAGTGAGAAGTTTTAAAGTAAAAATATGGGGGGAAATTCAAATAAATTTATATTGTATGTACATATTCAAGTTGATAACCATGAACACACATATACATTCACTAGTATGCATATATTGTATATCTGATGGTGTGAACCCCAACAATTGTTACATTTTCACCTCTAATAGATAAGCAATATTGGATTGTAATGACCCAAAAGTCTTACAATTATATTACCACAAAGTATAGTTTTAATTTAGCTAAGAAGAATACCTTCAACATTATAGTCTTCTTTAGTGATAGTCTGACTACCTTTTGATTTTCATTTTGACTATTGTCCCATTTGATATATTCATACATTTGATTGTTTTAGACTCGACTATAAAATTTGCACATTTTTTTCTCTTTTATCCTCTGTATCATAAATCTGACTCGTAATATTGGTGAGGTGAATGCTTAGGTAAAAGTAGATTGTTAATGGTTTAATCATGGTTTTACATATCAAGAATAGTTTGCATCAAACCAACTGAAAAAAAAATTGCTAGTTATTTGTGCAGTTCAGGCTAAAATTTAGAAAGTTACAAAATGGCAAATGTGAAAAATATATTGTTTTGAAATCAAATACTTATAAAATGTAACGCATTTTGGTACTGCCAGAAAGGACTGAAATGAGAGGGATCAACAATCACAAGAGAAAGAGAACAACAACACCATTTTTACATACACTATTCTTTATTTAAATAGTTAGAATTAAAAATTGACATGTTTCAAGACATTGAATGAATGGAAAAATCTTTCTATCCCAAATGGCTATGAATCCAATACTGTTAGACTATGTGATTAGATTACAAAAAAAGTTGAATATCAATAAAGTGTTTTCTTTCCATCCATAAGTTTATTAAATTTAGAAAAGAAGTTTTATATTTATTTAGAGAATTCATACCAAAGTTTTTTTTATACTTTCTGAGTCAGCCAAAGAAAAAATCATTATTTATAGTAGTCTTTATCCAGTCCAAATAGGATACGACAGAAAATGGCCCCAAAAGTATGGTTTTACCCTAACCCTAAACCATCCCTAATGTATCCCTTACCCTTTTTCATTACTCCTAACCCTTAGATAGGAGCCCCCTAACTACAAATCAATAAATGCTTGTTTCCTCCTAACCATTTCTTAACCCAAAATGCTGCCTTCAAATATCCTACTTGGGGCCGTTTTCTGTTGATCCCATCCAAAAAGTATGTCACCTGTATCATAAAAACAAAGTACATTAATTCAAACCTTACAGCAGAATCAATACTCTTATGGAACATGAAAAATCCAACAGGCATTCTGACATACCAAGACTCACTAATCCATAAACTTGCCATTTTTCATCAATAAAACAAGATAAAGGTCTGCCAGAATCACCCTAAAAAAATTTTTAAATTTCTTTTAGAATCTGATGAAATTCAACTGAAATTTACTTACATAACAGTTATTTCTCTGTAGGCCTTTTGAATCACTTACACATAAATGCATTGGATATTTAGGTTTTTGGTCATTTGACATATTGAGAAATTTAAATTTGCTTTCTTGTTCAGTTAGTATTCTTACTTCAATTTTGTATAACTCCTTTTCTGATTCAAAAAAAAAAGATCATTTATAGAACACTTAAAAAATATTTTACATAATACCAAATGGATATGATCTGAATCCAAAGCCAGAAGCTGTGTATTGAGAATCAGAACTGTTTTTAACATTGTACAACTTGGGTAAACATATTGGTTGGATTTTTTCATTAAATTCTAAACGGGATTTTAATTTAAGAATGGCAATATCATTCTCGACAGATGTTTTTTTGAATAAAGGATGTACAATGTATTGTTCTACAGAATGAGATTTGGAACTCTTATCACTTTCATTTAAAATTCCAACTTTGACACTAAACCTTTGAGTGTATCTGATAATTAAGATCCATAGAATTGAATAGATTAAAAATTTAAAAATAAAATGGAATAGTGAACCTATTAATACAATGAGCTGCAGTCAATAGATATTGGTTATGAATTATAACTGCACCACAAAGGAAATTAGCTTCATGTGACAAACTTGCCTTTTAAAAAAAACAAATATGAATTAATGTTAAAATAGATATCAGTTCAGTTAATGAATGACAAGCTACCTGCCATGGTATTTCTCCTAATTTTGCCTTTTCTCCATCCAAAATAAATGATTCCAAATTATCAATCCTTCCACACGATTGTTGAAAAAATCATCATACGAAATTTCTGATTAAAAACAAACTATTACAAACATCTGCTTTGTTTTTTTTATTACCTGATTTTTGGCAATCAGTGATTTGTATACTCCTGATTAAAAGTTGGTGGTGATCATTTGAATTTGTATTGATAGTAAACTATAGTGCAGCAGATTAATAAATATATGTGACAATAAAAAGTACCAAAGAAGAAAAAGTACCTGTTCTAAACCATTTTGAACAATGTAATCAAAAAGAATGATAGTACTCTCACTAAAATTTTTAATGCTTCCTTTAGCAAATCTGAGAAGAATTGAAGTAAGAATATGAAAATATTCAAATAATAATAAATAGAAGGATAAATTACTCTAAACTTTTTGAATATTTCAAGAGAACTGAAAACAAATTTGGTTGATGCTGTGTTGATTTTATTGCCAAACTTAAGCATTTTTTCCCTTCAATAACTAATTTTAATTTTGGTGAAATTAGTTGAGATTTGTGTGAATCTTTGGAGTCAATTCCAAAGATTTCCATACCACTATCTGAAAGCAAAAATAAAGCAGAATTCAGTAAATAGCTCCAGGTTCTGAATTTATACAAACAGATAAATCCATCACTTTATATACAAATCTAAGCCAACCATATCCTTGATTTATTGGAGTATTTGCAGTATAGCCATACATATCTGTCTCAAAATTGCAATCTAATCAAAATTCATTCAAGATTATTGAATTATTGAATTCAAAGAGAAAATCATAAATCTTACCAAATTATTTATTTTCTGGATCTTCCAGTAAATTACAATCATTCTTTGTCATCTAAAAAATACTGTTTATTGCCACAAAACAATTGTCAATGGTTGTTTTAACAGTTTTAAAAATAATCTGTTTATAAAATATAATTGAAATGAAAGATTTGGAGAGAAATGTTTATTTAAAATTTCAAACCTTGAACAAATTTTCAATAAAAGGTTGTTATAAAAGGTGATGTCAGTTTTGTATAAGTATACAGTGATACATCTTGCTCATTTCCAGATTCTACAGCAACTGACTTCCCGCCTAGATATATTTAAAAAATTCAACATGCTAGAACATTTAAAAAAAATATCCAAATTATTACAAGGTTTGTCTGTTGTTACTGGATCATTTATAGGAAAAGTTAAATTCCAGATCCAACTTGACTGAGGGTTGCTGTTAGTGAAAAAAACATGTACCAGTTATATTTCTTTAATTATTGCTTATACTTTAATTGCCATTCACTAAAATTGATGACTCTTATGTAAATTTGACCTCTTTCCCAAGGAATTTTCTCACCAAAATCATTATATATATCAAACATTAAACATTTTTGAACAGTATGATCAGTTATTCGAGGAGAAATAAGACTGACAGGTGATAAATTCTGTAATAAGGGGATTCTTCTCACCACAAAAGTGTAGGCTGATATATTGAAAAAAATTTGTTTATATATTAAAAACATTTAAAAAAAATCTAAAACTTTTTAGGGAATTTATCTCTATAAAATGACAGAGAAGATGATGAATTGGTTGTTATCTGATAGCCACACATACCATTTTCAAAGTCGCAATGAACATTCTCTTCTATAAAACCAAAAAAAAGGACTTTTTAATATTTAATGAAAAATATATTTAAATTTTGTACCATTCACAACTGGTATCTTGCATTTATTCTGGCTAATTAAAACATAATTTAATGCGACAATAAAAGATTTCGGAAAGAAATTAATCGCTTTAAATATTATCTGAAAAGGTAAAAAATTTCAAATTGATGGAAAAATGTTGAGATTTTTTCAAGAATTTCATATTTTACATTTGTAATTTCATCATTTCTAAAATCAAAACTTTCTTTTTTCATATCTATAAGTATCGAAGTACTGTTGCAGAATTGTTTTAAAATCTGAATAACAGTAAAAGAAGAGTTTAGAAATTGTTTTTTTTTAAAAAAAAAAAAAAACATTGCCAACCAATAACAGTACACTGTCTGTCTTTGAAATGTTCATTAATATTTTATATTCAAAATGGACACAAAAATATCCAATAGAATATACTTTTGGTGATATTAGTAGTGCACTTTTGTTCCATAATTTTTTTTGTAAACATATATGAACCTTAAAAAGCTACTAAACAACTTAATCTACTTGACTAATATCTCCTGGAATGGATAATCTCAATTTTACTTGAGAAAAATAATCAAATCTATTGAATAAAAAATTCAAGTTAAATGATCTAATTACTTTTTAACAGTATTCATAATCTTGCTTTGATTTTATTAAGTTTAAGCATTTTTCAAATTTTGTAAAGCTGAGTACTGGTGAAATCAGGTCAGCAGTCAAGTATTCATCTTCAGCCATGGCAGGAAGGACAATTTTATCATAGTGTGCTGAAATAGATTAGGAATCTTTAATTTTTTAAAAATGTTTTAAATTAGAACTTTACCATCATCTCCAAAAAAATGTTGGTTAGTAGATTCAAATACGAATGCTTTGAAAATAATTTTTCAAGACAAAAAAACAAAAATCTTAAGTTTTAATTCCAATTTAATTTGTTTGAAAAAAAAACCTTGAATTGCAAATTTTTATCTGGATTAGTTTTATTTAAAAGAAAACCTTGCCAGTTAAATCTGGTCACTTCATCCTCTTTACTCATTTGAAAGATTTCCTTTCTTCTTCACCAGCATTCTTTATATATCTAAAGGAAAATTATTACAAATACACTGCAGTTTTTTTAATGAAAATGCAAATTAAAAAACCTACTGCAAAGATATTTTTGGTATTATAAATTGTTCTAAAACTCAGACAAAAATTTGATTGAGTGGATGAAATATATGGCATTTCAAGTAGAGCATAACTACATTTGGCAAAACTAATGCAGTTTCAGCAGCCATGTAATAATTTACCTTCAGAATCAGTATAATGATTAAATTTCGTATTGCAGTCATTCTGATCAAAATTGTAGAAGGATATAAAATCAGTAGGTGTATATATCAGTATATGGAAAATATTGTCTAAAAAAAGAAATACAAGTTGTATTGCAACTATCATCTGTTGGTTTTGGTAGAACAATTTCAGTTTCAAATTGAGTTTTAGTTTTCCAAAAATCCTTAACAATTAATCTTGTTATTTTCATATTGAAAATTTTAGATTCTAATTTTGGATGAGTGAAACTATCTTTGATAAACTTTTCAAAATAATCTATCTTTTGTGATCTACTTCCATTTCTTCTACTTTCAGAATATAACTTGAAATAAGCCTTTATACTTCCTTTCTTCAATTCAAAACTATCAATGTTTCTAATAACAAAATCATCTTCATCTTCTCATAAGCTGAATAAATTAACCACAAAGTCTATAATTACTATCTTATATTTTCCAAAAATCTCAGATTTACGATTGCTGATTTTGGAGTAAGTTTAAACAGCCAGCTAATGGTTACAGAACTGAACTGACAAGCTGGGAAATGTATTTCCTTTTATACATTTCCCAAAGCTTGGGTACAATTGGTCAAAGGATTAGGAGGGCAAAATATAGCAGTCTCATAATCGACAAGTAACAAAAATATGAAAGACTATTATATCACACATATAGAATACAATGATGAGATGAACACCACATGGCCAACATGTGCCACTGCAGCACAGGCCTGCTTAGGTAGCATCTGGTATTGCCTAAAATGTAACAAATTTGACATGCATCTTTTCTGTGTTCTTTGTTCCTTTGTTAAATGCATAGTGGCTCCATCTAACATGGGCAAAGAATCTATTTCCTATGAAATAGAGTTCTTTCTAAAGTTCTAGAATCTTATTCTACAAAATAAAAGACTTTATAAAGTTCCACCATTATAATTCCCATGAAACAGAAGTTATTCTAAAGTTGATTTATACCTAAAGTCTAAATATCAATATGTCATTATGTGTAAGTGTACATTAACACACAACTAAGATATGCAGCCTACCAAAAAGAAGCTTTTGCTGTCTATTGGGCAGTTCAAAAATTCTCCCATTACTTGCATTATAAGAAATTTTTTCTTTATACTGATCACAAAAATTTGGGTCAAACATTTGTACAAAACAAATTAAATTCAAGTACTGTTAAATGGGTTATGGCACTTATGGATATGGATTTTGAAATAATTTACATACCAGGAAGAAGTAACAAAAATTCAAAATATCAAAAATTGGAGAAACTAATGAAGTAATTGATTTTCAAAATTTACTTAAGGAGAGGTTAAATGAAGAGAAACAAAATGGCAATACAGTTCCCCAATTAGCAGAAAGAAAGGATATGCTTAAATGTTTTTATATTGACACTGAAGATTTAGAAGAATTGGATGATTATTTGAATGATAATTTAGATAATGATTTTGATGAAGAATTAAAAGAACATCAAGCTCAAATAATGAAACTAAAAGTTGCACCAGTTGAAATAAACTTTTATAAAGAACAATTACTAGACACTCCATTAATGAAAGCAGTAGATAAATTGGAAGGAGAAAATATTGAGGATGACTCATTGAATGAATATAAAAATTACATTTAAGGGATGTTCGTGAAAGATGACTTAATATGGTATCTAAATGGTTGTCAACCACTACTTGTAATTCCTTTCTCAACTTTAACTAACCTACTTGGACAAATTCACCAACACCAACTATTTTAACCCTATGGTGTTGATATAACTATTCATACTTTGGAACAAGCATTTTGGCATCCTAAGCTAAAGAAAACAGTTAAAGATCACATAAAAAATTGTTAATTTTGTAAACAGTTATGTGCACCAAGTAACAAACATTTGTTGGTTGAAACACCTCATCCAACTCTACCAATGCAAAGAATTGCCATGGACATAATGGGACCTCTTACTGGACATGATTCTTACAAGTACATGCTTGTCATTATAGATCACATGTCAAGATTTACCAATGTTTTTCCTCTAAAAACTCAAGCAGCTGAGGAAATCTCAAAACATTTGTTTTTTAATTATTTCCCAATGTTTGGTATTCCAGAAGAAATTCTCACAGACCAAAGAAGAAATATAGAGATAGAGTCAATAAAACAATTACCAGAAAACCACTAATTTACAAAGTGGATAACTGGGTACACATAAGAAATGAATACATTGGTCAAGGAATGAACAGAATAAATACAAGCAAATGGAATGGACCATACCTGGAAACTGCTACTGATACTACAAAATGTTTATAGGAATTGGAAATATTGGCAGATAAAAGGAAATTCTATCATGCCAGTAGATTAAGACTAGCTAACAAACAACCTATAGCAGTTAATGCAATTAAAGTAGAAAAGCAACAAAGATCTGGTCAAACACTTCCTATCAGAGGATCTATAATCTACACTTTGCTAGTAATCTGTTCTTTAAACTTGGTTCAAGCAAATGTATCCATAACAAAAGCAAACATAACTGTAAGAATGCTACTAGCAGTACTGTTTTGCCAAGGACAACAAGTACATCAATCATTTGATTTAGCAGATGAACCCATTTGTACCTTTGAAACCAAACAAATGATCAAAATTATGGCTAATGTGTATGAAATTAATGCTGACAATTTAGCAATTCAAGCAGTTAAGTGTATGGCGAAAAGAAGAATCAACTTTTATACATATTACTTCTTTGGGGCAAAAAAGCACAGAATTGAAAAACAAACACTTA